TAGTAGTAGTAGTAGTAGTAGTAGTAGTAGTAGTAGTAGTAGTAGTAGTAGTAGTGGTAGTAGTAGTAGTAGTGGCGGTGGTCGTGGTAGTGGTAGTGGTAGTGGTAGTGGTAGGTACAAGATAGTAGTAGGTACTAGATCGTAGGTACTAGATAGAAGGTACTAGATAGAAGGTACTAGGTAGTAGGTAGTAGGTAGTAGGTAGTAGGTAGGTAGGTAGTAGTAGTAGTAGTAGTAGTCGTAGTCGTAGTCGTAGTAGTAGTAGTAGTAGTACTGGTAGTAGTAGTAGTAGTAGTAGTAGTGGTAGTAGTAGTAGTAGGTACTAGATAGAAGGTACTAGATAGAAGGTACTAGATAGTAGGTAGTAGGTAGTAGGTAGTAGGTAGTAGGTAGTAGTAGTAGTAGTAGTGGTAGTAGTAGTAGTAGTGGTAGTAGTAGTAGTAGTAGGTCGTAGTAGTAGTAGTAGTTGTTGTTGTTGTTGTTTGTCGTCGTCGTCGTAGTAGGTAGTGGTAGTAGGTAGTAGGTAGTAGATAGTAGGTAGTAGGTACTAGATAGTAGGTAGTAGGTAGTGGGTAGTGGGTAGTGGGTAGTAGGTAGTAGCAGTAGTAGTAGTAGCAGTAGTAGCAGCAGCAGCAGTAGTAGTAGTAGTAGTCGTAGTGGTCGTCGTCGTCTTCCTTTGCTGCTGCTGGTGCTGGCGCTGGCGCTGGTGCTGGTGCTGCTGCTGCTGCTGGTGGCGGTGGTGGTGAACACTTGCTGCTCTGAGTCTCAAACGCTCGCAGTGCTTCGCTACAGATTGCGCTCACACCAACCTCGCAGATTTGGCAGGACTAGGGCAAGCGGGTCAGATTCGTTTAGCGTTCAGTACACTTTGGAAGGAGTATGCTTTTTGATCTCGCCAAGTTGTCTGCGATTTCATGCAGTGGACAAAGGGTTCAATACCCCGCTGAACACGATCCACTGCACCAAAAGCGAGTCCTAAGACGAGCTGAGGCCTGACTTGTTCAGCCTCCATGTTTTGCGTGTCAAATGTACGTTTCGTTGCGAAAAACGAGTGGCTCAGCTATTGCAGGCAACAAACCTGCACCGAGCAGACCGAGGAAACAGAATTGGCAGCATGTTCGAAGCAGTCTCACTCTTCCAACAAGACCCAAAACAGCAAACGCTCTTGATTGAAAAAAGCGCCCGAGCGAAGGGGAACGAGACGCTACGGAAGACAAACAATGACTCCATCACAAGTCACAAGAAATTCGCAACTGGCAAACTCAAAGAGGTCAGTGGTGTTGATCTGTTCTTTCTTGACAAGAAAGAAACAACAAAGAAAGACTTGTGATAATTACACCACCGTAGACCCCAAACAGTTTGTGTTTTTCAAAATCGAAACTAGAGCTTGCGACGTCCAGAGCTGGGAGATAAATGTAAAGGATTGCAAGGCAGAGACGGACACAGCAGTACAGAGCGGGGGGACACATCTTAAGAAAGAAGTGAGAAGCCCTAACAGTAAACCTTTTGGGGAATTATTCTTCAAGCGCGAACATGATGCTGGTCATGCTGCTCAGTCAGCGGGGAGCTGACCACGTGAGGACAAGAAACAAAAGCATGAGGAGCGAAGGATGTGACATGAAATTGATTTTTGGTGCCTGACATATGCCCTCCGCCCCAACTGAATAGAGAGATCGCTGCCACGCCGCCGAAATCCAATCCGGTCATTCATCCAACGGTTGCCCGAGAAGGAAAACAAAGCTGAGAGAGTTACACAGTGTGGCAGGAATGCAACCCCGGAGACCGTCACGCACCCCTTGCAAAGGAGCAAGAACCTTTCACAGGCGAACCTGTTCCAGCGGACAGGGCAGAAAACAGCGGTGCAGGCACCAAACCTGAAAGACAAAAAGAAAGAAGTCACATGGGAGACAAATGAATAGAAATGCTACATGGCCAGCGGAAAAGGGCGGCAGCACCAGTGACAGACCCGGGAAACAAATTAATAGAAATGCTGCATGCCCAGCGGAAAAGGGCGGATACCAACAGTGACAGACCTGGGAGACTAATGAATAGAAATGCTGCATGGCCGACGAAAAGGGCGGACACCAGCAGTGACAGACCTGGGAGACAAAACACTGGCAGTGACAGACCTGGGAGACAAATGAATAGAAATGCTACATGGCCAACGGAAAAGGGCGGACACCTACAGTGACAGACCTGGGAGACAAATGAATAGAAACAGCGGAAAAGGGCGGACACCACCAGTGACAAGCCTGGGGGACAAATGAATAGAAACGCTGCGTGGCCAGCGGAAAAGGGCGGAAATTAGCAGTGACAAAGACAAATGAATAGAAATGCTACATGGCATGACGGACCTGGGAGACAAATGAAGCATTTCTGGGAGATAAATGAAAAGAACCGGGAGACAAATGAAAGCAAGTGGGAAACAAGCGGGCCGGGAACCCCACCACAAGCACCCAGCCTGGGAGACAAATGAAAAGAAGTGGGTGACAAATGAAAAGAAGTGGGAGACAAATAAGAGGCCGGGAACCCGACCACAAGCAGAAAAAAAGTGGGAGACAAATGAAAGGAAGTGGGAGACAAGCTGGCCGGGAACCCGACCACAAGCACCGAGCCTGGGAGACAAATGAAAGGAAGTGAACCCGACCACAAGCACCCAGCCTACCGAGCCTGGGAGGCAAATGAAAGGAAGTGGGAGACAAGCCAGCCAGGAACCCGACCACAAGCACCCAGCCTGGGAGACAAATGAAAAGAAGTGGGAGACAAATGAAAGGAAGTGGGAGACAAGCCGGCCCGGAACCCGACCACAAGCACCCAGCCTGGGAGACAATGAAAAGAAGTGGGAGACAAATGAAAGGAAGTGGCCTGGGAGACAAATGAAAAGAATTGGGAGGCAAATGAAAGGAAGTGGGAGACAAGCCAGCCGGGAACCCCGACTGAAAAGAACTGGGAGACAAAGGAAGTGGGAGACAAGCCGGCTGGGAACCCGACCAGACCATCCAGCACCAAGGCGACCATTCTTTAAAGCATTGAGAACCCCTAACAGTAAACTGCTTGGGGAATGAAAAGAAGTGGGAGACAGATGAAAAGACAAATGAAAGAAGTGGGAGACAAATGAATGCACGTGGGAGACAAGCCAGCCGCAAACCCGACCACAAGCACCCAGGGAGACAAATGAAAAGAAGTGGGAGACATATGAAAGGAAGTGGGAGACAAGCCAGCCGGAAACCCGACCACAAGCACCCAGCCTGGGAGACAAATGATAAGAAGTGGGAGACAAATGAAAAGAAGTGGGAGACAAATGAAAGGAAGTGGGAGACAAATGAAAGGAAGTGGGAGACAAGCCAGCCGCAAACCCGCGACCACAAGCACCCAGCCTGGGAGACAATGAAAAGAACTGGGAGACAAATGAAAAGAAGTGGGAAAGGAAGTGGGAGACAAGCCGGCCGGGAACCCGACAAATGAAAGGAAAGGAGACAAGTGAAAAGAAGTAGGAGACAAATGGGAAGTGCGAGACAAGCCAGCCGGGAACCCGACCACAAGCACCCAGCCTGGGAGA